CTCCCCTTTCTCACTTTTTATCTCTAAAATACACCAACTCAGTTAAGAAATAAATGTTTTGTCAAATCCAGAATAACAGTAAAGTTATTTAAAAGTATCTTTTAAGTTTAGCCAAACATGTTTTAACCATTCCTTTAAGCAACTTTATTTCCCAAGAATGTTATTCTGTAAAAGATGTTTTTTTTCCTTACATACAATTTTTTTTTTTCTAGGCTTAACCAAAGATGCTCATATAAACCATGTATGGCTAAGATTAAAAATGTTTACCTTTACTTAAATGATTTTTTGTTAGTAAAGACTTAAAAATAAGTGAATTAGTTATCAAGGTAGTTTAAGTTAATTTTGAAAAAAATAAAAAAATACCTATTTTACTTAACACAATTAAAAGAAGAGAGTATACCTAGATATCATAGACAAAGAAAATTACTTAAATTAACTTTACTTACTTTTGAGGATAACCCACCACGTCCAAACCAAAAGACAAAAGCAACTTTTGTCCACAGACACATACCCACATAACTAGAAAAATACCAGAATATTCTTATTATCTGATAAAATCTAAAATAGTAACATGATGTTGGCTTTTAAAAAAAAAAATTAAAATAAAATAATCAATACTATTCTACTTTTTCATTTGCAATTCATCTAGTATTCGGAGTTTAATCGTACTTTGATAACTTTAGGTCACATAGATTGATTTTTTTAATTTTTTTTATGTGACTGTGAAATGTCTGAGATTGTTAATTAATATTTTCATCCACAGAGAAATTTTTTTTTGTTTCAGTACAGATTAAAAGTATATAAATATTTCAAGTGAAAGTCAACAATTAATTTTAAATAAACATTTCATGAAATCAGGGCCGCCCCTGGCCCAAGGTGACAAAGGCCATTGTCTATGGCCTCAAGTTTGAAAGGGCCTAAAAAAAATATTGAAACTCCAAAAGATACTCTTTTTTTTTTAGTTGGGTCTCTAACCCTTTAAAAAGCAACAACAAAATTATTCTAAATAAGAGGCACAAATTAATTGGGTATTTAACTTACATTCTTTTTTAAGAAATAAAATGGATCTATAATTAAATTATGTGGAAATTACATTCAACCAAATTTTTTAAGATCCAATTTTAAAAATCAAATATAAAGTTTGTTTAAACAAAAATAAGATATTAATTCAAATATTCAATATTTTCTCTCTTCTCTCCCTAAATCATAACCACTCAAACCCTAAAAATTCCAAAATCACAACACACATATTTCTTTTCTTTCTGGTGGCTTAGCCGCACGACTCGACACACTGCTGTACATGACCCAGCGCAACGGCACCTCACAGAGGTAGAACCACCATTGGTTCATCGTGTGCAGAATCACTGGAGTGTCGTCACCATCACCGCTACAGCGTGCACCCCCCATCCATCCCTTCTTTGCCTTTATTGCATGGAATACTACAGCCGAAGACCACCGTAAGAGACCATCGTGCATATCCATTCTTTTTCTTTTTTCTGAATTATTAAGTGGTGCGGTGATTAGTTGTTCGGTGGTGGTGATGGTGTGTTGGGTTTGTGATTGCGGTGGTTGTGGTGCTGTGTGCAGTAGGTGCAGTGGTGGTGCAAGGTATGGTGGTGTTGGCGGCGGCGTGGTGGCTTTAGCGGTGGTGTCGTAGTTGTGTGGTGGGTTCAAATGGTGTGTGG